AATTTTTGATATCGCCTAAAAACAGAGCTTGATGTGCAGATAAGAGTAGGCAAAGCCAGAATGATGTGTTGTTAAATGTTAAGGACATTTCTCTGAATTTCAAACATACACTGCACATTGTTTCTTATCTACTCGCTATAGCACAAATACTGCAACTGATTTAATGATTTTATGAGTGGCATGTTTGGAACAATAAATATGAAACTCAATAAATAAGCTTTTTGTCCGAAATAAGGTCAAGAAAAATATGTTGCTATATGAATGCACAGTCCCTCTTGTTCCTCCTTGTATGGAGAGAGTGTAAAGAATTTTATTTGAAGACATGAAAGTCCACATATACTCAGACAGATGCACGTCATGTACAGCGGCGAAATAGTTTGTGAAGCTTTTAGCTGCAAATACTTCAGCCAAACATTCACTGTCCTGCACAGCATTTGCTCATTTCTTTAAAAAAAAAAAAAAAAAGTTGATATATCTCTAAAGTTCACATACGTTTCCCCAAAAGGACAGCAAATACTGGTTAAATGATGTTCTGCAAAGACATGGAAATATAAGCGTTTTTGTTATGTATTTAGATCCGTTATAACAGTGGTTCACAACTGGTTTACATCTCATCTCACACAAGACATTAAGTGGTAACTCAACATAGGAACAAAGTTATTCACCATCAAATAAAACCAAAAATATCCTTTTTTACTCTGAAAATTATAATTAGGCCTAATAAGAACCGCATAGGACCAATAACACGCCACATTTTTAACCTGATGTAGGCTTAAAGGAGTACTCACCCCCATGTCATCCAAGATGTCCATGTCTAGGCCTGTCACGATAACAAATCTTGCTGGATGATAAATTGTCTAAAAAATGATTGCGATAAACTATAATATTGTCGTTCCGAGACCATTTACATCTAAAATAATGATGGCATAATCATAAACTAACACTAAAAGCAATGTCTCTGTTAACAAAAAAATGCACTTGAATAAATACCAAAAACAATAAATAAAATGGATGTACAAAACCGACCCTACCCTAAATTGTTTGTTATTAAAGCATTAACACACAAACCACTGTTAATTTAACATAAAAGCAAGCAGCTACTGTGCATGGTCTGGCATGACTGAAAGCATGCAAAGGACGCTCCCTTAATAATTCCTAAAAAGCTGACAGTTCATCACGATCTCACACATCTCTGTTATTATCAACGAAGCTGACCGCACAATTAATCTTTCATAATATCCACACTTTGTTTGTTATAATTAGAGGATAAATCATTTCTATTTTGATTTAGTTGTTCTTGTTGCTTTTCTGCAACATATGAATACAAATCTAATAGTTTTTAAAAGTTTTATTCATAGATATTTCTAGTTTGCAAGAGTCCCGCGAATCGTTTTATTCTCCCGCAACACGCACACACAGAGTGAGTGCATTACAACCCGGCGCCCGCGCTCGCACTCGGCCATCAAGTCTAGTGCCGTGCCGCACTCTATTGCGTTGGGAAGTCACGTCTCTACTAGATCAAGGGCCCGGTCTGAGAATATAGTGTTGGGCCGGCTCGGGTCAAGTTTGGGCTCAGGCAGAGAATCTGAGTTGTCATCCAGTCTCTTTGGTAGAGAGAGAGAGAGAGAGAGAGAGAGAGAGAGAGATGAGGAAAACAAACAAACAAGCATGCAAATGGAAATGGAAATTATTGCGTCCAGAAAAATTATCGAGCTCATTTTTTTTTATCATGCGATTAATCGATTTATCGACTATCGCGACATGCCTATCCATGTCATTCTTTCTTCAGTCGAAAAGGATTTCCAGGATTTGTCTCCATATAATGCACTTCAATGGGAACCAAACGGTTCAAGGTCCAAAAGACAGTTTCAGTGCAAACTGCAAACTATTCAAAGGGCTTTAAACGATTCCAGACGATGAATAAGGGTCTTATCAAGCAAAACGATCGCTCATTTAAAGAAAAAAAAAGTTTAAGTTTTATAAGCTCAAATGGTCGCCTTGCTCTGTTCTGTGATGCGCGTTCGTGACTCTCCTGTTCGAACTCGTTCATCAAAATGAACGAATATTTTCCCGAGTCAACTCGTTTATTGAATGAACCAAATGACACGAAAAAAGATTTGTTCATTTTGATAAACGAGTTTGAACAGGAGAGTCACGAACGTGCATCACAGAACAGAGCAAGGTGACCATTTGAGCTTATAAACTTTGTTATTTTTTTTTAAATGAGCGATTGTTTCGCTTGATAAGACCCTTATTCATCGTCTGGAATCGTTTAAAGCCCTTTGAACAGTTTGTAGTTTGCACTGAAACTGTCTTTTGGACCTTGAACCATTTGGTTCCCATTGAAGTCCATTATATGGAGAAAAATCCTGGAATGTTTTCATCAAAAATCTTCATTTCTTTTCAAATGAAGAAAGAATGACATGGATATCTTGGATGACACGGGGGTGAGTAAATTATCAGCAAAAGTTTTTTTTAAAAAGTGAACTACTCCTTTAATAGGAAAAATGGCCATCTAAAAACATTTTTATGAAGTATATAAATAATAATACTACATCAGAACAAGTCTGTGACCCCATTTTAGGTGACGTTGCACCAGTTGAGAACCACTGCTAATAACACCGACTGTTACATGTGGAAATCTTACATTTTGGATCAAATAAATGCTGGACTGTTTTCTCTGTCTACGGTGTGTCCTTCTTTGAGCACGTGATCCATTGGTTGAGGAATGAGTCTTTGGAATTCACTGAATTCAGAAAAGTCATCTCTTGCAAGACGTTCATGGTCTATAGAGTTGAGGCGGCACTTCAAAGGCCCCGCGGGGAGCGTCTGATCAGTCTGCGCCCACTACCTCTGTGGGACTGTGCCCGTGTTCAAGCCCTCTGTGCCCAAGTCGTCCTCTACTACGTTACTGTAGCCCTCCTTCTCAATGCAGTCGGTAAGTACTTGAAGCACCAGGCGTAGCCGGCGGTCCATGGCCTCCAGATGAGGTTTGATGAGGATGGGCGTCAGGGTGTCCGTCTGTAGACTTTCCTCCATCAGAACACTCAGTTTGAACTCCTCCTTAGCCAACAGCTGAAGCCGTAAATGAGTGGACTTCTTCATCCTGAGCCACAAGATCAGACAAAATCACTAACCAACAACTACAAAGAAATTATATTTAATATTTATTTTATATTTAATATTTATTTCAAACCATGATTAAATAAGTAAGGGATAATCCACGGCTAGCTGTGCATTAAGCGGACACTTAGTCATTTGACAGCATTGACAAGTTAAAGGAGTAGTTCACTTTTGCTGATAATTTACCCATGTCATCCAAGATGTCCATGTCTTTCTTTCTTCAGTTGAAAAGAAATGAAGGTTTTTGATGGAAACGTTCCAGGATTTTCTCCATATAATGGACTTCAATGGGCACCAAATGTTTCAAGGTTCAAATGAGAGTTTCAGTGCAGCTTCAAAGGGCTTTAAACGACACCAGACTCGGTCGAATCGGTCATTTCAAAAAAGTTTTAGAAGCACAAATGGTCGCCCCGCTCTTTTCTGTGGTGCGCATTCGTGACTCTCCTGTTCGAACTCGTTCATCAAAATGAACGAATCATTTTTCGAGTCATTTCGTTAATTTTGTTCGTTGAATGAACCAAATGACTCGAAAAAAAGATTCGTTCATTTTGATGAACAAGTTTGAACAGGAGAGTCACGAACACGCAGAACAGAACAGAGCAAGGCGACCATTTGAGCTTATAAAACTAAAAAAAATTTTAATGACCGATCGTTTCCCTTTATAAGACCCTAATTCATTGTCTGGAATCGTTTAAAGCCCTTTGAACAGTTTGCAGTTTGCACTGAAACTGTCTTTTGGACCTTGAACCGTTTGGTTCCCAGTAAAGTCCATTATATGGAGAAAAATCCTGGAATGTTTTCATCAAAAACCTTCATTTCTTGACATAGACATCTTGGATGACATGGGGGTGAGTAAATTATCAGCACAAGTTTTTTTAAAAGTGAACTACTCCTTTAATGGGCAGGCGAACTATGTATTCATATCGACCATACAAAGAGAAATAGCTTTTGTTAAACGCCACAATCACATTTACGTGTTAGGTTTCACAGCCTTGATCTAAACACTTTTGGAGATTCTTGCAGTGATATGACAAATACTGAATAATAAATAAATAATAATGCTAATACTGACCTGCAGCACTGACTCAAAGGCACCAGTATGGAGAGCTCATCATGAGAATATTTACCAAAGCTGAAGATTAAGAGACAAATCAGATAGAAATGACATTTGTATGACTATGCTTCAGAAAACACACACACAGCACATTAACAGTAATGAATTTAAGAAGCTTTTTTCACTGACAGTAAAGAATAATGTCTTACCCTCTTCCATTATCAAGGTGAATAATGAAAGTTTCATTTCCAAATTTCTCAAAAGTCTCATAATGATGACGATCCATATTTCCTTTGAAGACATATAAATATCAACAGTTATTATATAAATACCTTGACTGGATTTCAGCTTTAGTTTTGTGTTCAGGTGCAAGTGATGCACTTCTGTGAAATGGTCTTACCCATGAGGAAATCAAAAACGGTCATGTCCATGATGTCCAGCAGGCGTGTGCCGCTGTCATAGGGTGGCGTCTGCTTCACCTCTTCACAATAATCTGGATCCACCTCCCACCTACACACACACCTCATTAGTGTCACGTTAACACACACTGTACAAAGAAAAACATGCTGAAGCTCAATGTAATGAGACACTATCATGATAATCTGAGGAGAAACTGGACGATTAGAAGTGAGCAACTACACTACTATTAGGGAGTTTTGTAATGAAGATGTCCTACATTTTGGCATCTGAATCAATTATTTCAGCCAATGAAAGTGCTTTATGTGATGACAGCTGATCCTTAAAGGGATAGCTCACCCAAAAATGACTCACCTTCAAGCCATCCTAGGTGAATATGACTATATTCTTTCAGACGAACACAATTGGAGATATTTAAAAAAAAAATATCCTGGTTCTTCCAAGATTTATGATGGTGAATTTTTTTGAAGCCCAAAACAGTGCATCCATCCATCATAAAAAAAAATCCATACAGCTCCAGGGGGTTAATAAAAGCCTTCTCAAACAATGCGTTTGTGTAAGAAAAAAATACACATTTAAAACTTTATTGGCTATAAAAACTAGCTTCCAACAGAGGATCGTACGCATACTACACAAGTCGACTTGCCTGGGGCATGACCAACCCCTGATGTGATGTATGACGCAGGATCCCAGCAAACACAGAACGTTCCCCTAACATTCCCGAATGGACCCATGAGGTTATTTTTTTTGGGAACCAAACAAGAACGTTATAGGAACGTTCAATGTAGGCTATTTTTAGGTTCCATTTTTATAACGTAAGGAGAATGTTCCGGGAACGTTCCCTTAACCTTAAGGGAAAGTTCTAGGAATGTTCTGGGAACCAAAAACTAACGTTCCCAGAACCTAAATTTGTTTGCTGGGATGTAACAGTGTCGTAAGCTTTGACGCCTCTCGCGGTTTAAACGAATAGGGCTGTGCAACAAACTCAAGCTCTTCTTCTCTTAAATCAAAATCCTCCGACATTTCTCTTTAAAATTTCTAGTTTTAGAATTCTAATTTGTTAAGTTTTAAATATGGATATTTTCCTAACAAAAACCTATCGCTTTGCATCAGAAGGCCTTTAATAAAGGAATAGTTCACTTTTAAAAAATTTTTTGCCTATAATTTACTCACCCCCATGTCATATCCATATCCATCTCATTCTTTCTTCAGTCGAAAAGAAATGGTTTTTGATGAAAACATTCCAGGATTTTTCTCCATATAATGGACTTCAATGGGAACCAAACGGTTCAAGGTCCAAATGACAGTTTCAGTGCAGCTTCAAAGGGCTTTAAACGACACCAGACGACGAATAAGGGTCTTATCTAAACCGCGAAACGATAGGTCATTTTAAAAATAAATAAAAAAGTTTAAGTTTTATAAGCACAAATGCTCGCCTTGCTCTGTCCTGTGATGCGTGTTCGTGACTCTACTGTTCGAACTAGTTCATCAAAATGAACGAATCTTTTTTCGAGTCATTTTGTTCGTTGAAAGAACCAAATGACTCGAAAAAAAATTGTTCATTAAGACCCTTATTCATCGTCTGGTAGTGTTTAAAGCCCTTTGAAGCTGCGCTGAAACTCTCATTGAAGCTTGAACTGTTTGGTTTCCAATGATGTCCATTATATGGAGAAAATCCTGGAATGTTTTCATCAAAAACCTTCATTTCTTTTCGACCGAAGACAGAAAGACATGGACATCTTGGATGACATGTGGGTGACTAAATTATCAGCAAAAGTTTTTTTAAAAGTGAACTACTCCTTTAACCACCTGGAGCCGTATGTATTATTTTTTATGATGGATGGATGCATTTTTTTGGGCTTCAAAATCTCATCCCCCATTCACTCCCATTATAAAGCTTGGAAGAGCCAGGATATTTTTTAAATATAACACTGATTGTGCTCGTCTAAAAGAAGATAGTCATATACACCTTGGATGGCTTGAGGGTGAGTAAATCATGGTATAATTTACATTTTTGGGTGAACTATCGCTTTAAGGGTGCTTTCACACAAGTTCGGTTGACGTCAGAGTTCGGTTGGTTTGGATGATGTGAACGCTCTTTTCTCCTTCTCCTGCATCGCCATCACCAAGAGACTGGGTTAAACAGCTGCTGCGTTGATGATGCAAACGCACCCAAATAATGGAGGGGAGAGCAATCGAACTCGGTCTGAACCAGGCAATCGGACCAAGTGTGAAAGCACCCTAAAAGTAATATATAGATATATATGAGATGTGCTGTGTATTCCTCACTCTGCTTTCTTGCGTTTGTGATAGGATCGTCTCCAGGGGTTTCTCCAGGTCCTGCGCTTGGCCAAGGCCAGGTCGGGCAGAAAAGCTGCTAAAGAGCCCTCGATCTGGTCAGGTTTCCCGCACAGAGCATGCTCAGTGGAGCAGTAGTACGAACATTCGCCGTAGAAACAGATATTATTGGCTGTAGGGATGAAAGAGCATGTTAAAAAAAACAGACAGACAGTTCAATATATTTAAAATGATGATTTTAAAGTTAAATCCAAATGCATGTTCCTAGCATTATTAATTCATTTCAAGAAATTAAATGATACAAATTAAAGCTCAGTATTGATGTTTATGTACTCTGGATTGGCATATTGTTTCATATAGATGAAAATGAATAGTTATCAAAAATGTGCCTAGATTACTACGAATTTTATGAAAATTTAATGTGTTGTTTAAGTCTAATTTACAACACCGGCTGTTTGGTTCCTCTAACTGAGAGGAAAAATCACATGCAGTTTAAGGGAAAATAAATATGGGGGTTTAAACAGCTTTTGTTGAATATTTGACTTCATTTGGAAAACTATCACATTATTGTATTGGTTGTAAACAGCATTTTACATTGACTTTAAATTATGAATCCAATTTTGTGGCAGCATCAACTAATTAATCAAAAACTATTGTTGTGACGTTGATATACTACAGTTTGCGTAAAGATTGTTGTTCAGTAAAAGAACTTAAGAAATGAATACTTTTATTCAACAATGATGCATTTAATAACAGTTAAGACATTTATAGTGTTACAAAAGATTTCTATTTCGAATGAACGCTGTTCTTTTTAACTTTGTATTCATCAAAGAAGGTGAAAATGTACCACATTTACCACAAAAATATCAAGCAGCACAACTGGTTTAAACATTGAGAATAAGAAATGTTTCTTGAGCAGCAAATCAGCATATTAGAATGATTTGTGAAGGATCATGTGACACTAAAGACTGGAGTAATAATGCTGAAAAATACAACATTGCCAGCACAGGAAAAAAAAAAAAATTAAAAATAGAAAACATTTTAAAATAGTTACATTTTAATTGTAATAATAGGCCTATTTCACAATAAAGGTAGTGTACATATTTAAATTTCAGCCTATCAAGGGGATAGGAGTTCTCGCTTGACAATTAATTAACCAACACCGCCATCTACTGGTTACTTTCAATAGTACAAGTAGAAAATCACAGAATCCACTGATAAGATAATAAAGATAAGCACAAAAGAAATTAGAGTTTGAATTAGTGATAATAAATTATCTTGCCTCAGTTGGGGCAATTTGGGCCAAAACTATTGATTTTAATAAATCAGTCAGTAAATTGATCATAATGATAAGTGATAAGAGAGTGACTGCTGGATGTTGAGTACCTGGTGAAATGAAAAAGGTTCTCCACAGTTTTTTGTCACGGGTCACATCTCTGATCTCTTTGGTCATATTCACCAGTCGCCCAGTCACCGGCGGCACTCGGCGGAAATCCAGGATCCTGATCATCAATCAAAGGAGACACAAGTTAGTTTTTACATGGATACCACATACAGATAGTTGAAGCTCAATAGAAATTTGCTCAACTAAATTAAAGGGATAGTTCACCCAAAAATGAAAATTCTGTCATTAATTACTCACCCTCATGTTGTTCCAACTCTGTAAGACCTTTGTTCATCTTCGGAACACGAATTAGGATATTTTTGATGAAATCTGAGAGCTGGATCTGTCCTGCATACTAATCCATAGGCTTCTTGAGGAATTGAAACTTGCCGGCCTCAAAACGTTATTAAAGACATCGTCAAAACAGTTCAAGTGACTTTAGTTGCTCAATCTAAACTTTATCAAAGAACGAGAACACTTTTTGTGCGCAAAAACAAACAAAAATAACGACTTTATTTCAACTATTCAATTCCTTCTCTTTGAGCGTCTAGTCAGTTAACGTAGCGTGATTGCGTAGATCTACGTAACACGTAGGCTCACTATTGGCCGACGCTGGTCATGTGTGTGATGCGTGTGACGTACAACAAAAAATCATACGCTGTTAAACTAGTAACCTGACTCCAGGCCTAGAGAGAATTAAATGAATAGTTGAAATAAAGTCGTTATTTTTGTTTGTTTTTTTGCGCACAAAAACTGTTCTCGTCGTTTGATAAAGTTAAGATTGAGCCACTGTAGTCACTCAGACTATTTTAACGATGTCTTTAATAACTTTTTGAGGCCGGCAAGTTTCAATCCCTCAAGAAGCCTATGGATTAGTATGGAGAAGTGATCCAGCTCTCAGATTTCATCAAAAATATCTTAATTCATGTTCAGAAGATGAACAAAGGTCTTATGGGGTTGGAACAACATGATGGTGAGTAATTACTGACAGAATTTTCATTTTTGGGTGAACTATCCCTTTAAAACACTCAAACCAAATTCATAGAGAATGGGCTATATGCACGCATAAATTCCGCATTTGACGCAAGGATGCTCGTCCATTTCCGGTTGTGTAGATTAAAGCGGAGGAAAACCGAGGAAAACGGGATTATGGCAGAGTCTTCAAAATTTACTGTCCTCCAGTCTTTGAAATGAAACGTACATACGTTTAGATGTAATTTTATATATAGTTATATTTATTTAATATAATTTTAAAAAGAAGCATAAACACAACGAGGGGTGTCTGTTTTATCTGTTTTTGTGACTAACGTTTCTTTAGTATAACCATGGAGTATAAAATTCAATATAAATTCTCGGTATTGCATTGGACTCTATGATCGGCGGAAGTTATCGAGCATCCCTAATGCTTCACCGGAAATACCGCCGTGCATAGAGCCCATTGTGGGAAGAAACTAAGGGAGGAAAAATACTTTCACCACTAGAGGGCGCTCAAAGTATACTAGATAAAATACACTTCACAGATTGTGAATAATAAATCTCGACTTGTCAAGGGATGAAACATTTGTTTCCTATAAAAACCCTTTTACTTACTGTATATTTCATACTGAGGAAATAACACATTTTAGCCGAATTTACCGCATCTTTTGACGGAACTGGCCTTGCACAAAACTGAATTTATTGCTGAATGTAACATAAATGTGTTGGCTTTCTTCCTGGTTATTTGTGAGCGTGGTCCATGTTTTAAAACATATTCACCCTGCGTGCGTGCGTGCAAGTGTATACTCTCAGCTGACAGGGCCACTTGAAAAAAAAAAGAGACTAACTAATGGACGGGGCTAAGGGATAAAAGCACTTGAAGCTACTAATTGCCCAGTCATGCTGACAGAGATGACAGAGAGAGTTTGTGTGCGGGAGCGTTTTCACTGTCCGATGCATAACTCAGTGGGAACTGTGGGGCAAGTGAAAAGTAGTCCTTTCAAACCTCTCTTCTCCCTCAATCCCGTCTTCCTCCCCAAAGACACGCTACAATAAGCGTTTCCCATCAACTAAAATCAGATAATTAATGGTACGTCGTCAGATATAGCCGTGGTGGGCTTGTGAGGACAGAGAGGCCCACTGGGTGATGGCGCTTTAAAATAGAAATAACAACCTGCACTTTTGTCTAACCCAGATGAACTTTATTTAGAAAAGCTGGTGTTTTTTTCATGTTCTTGGTTTGCGCTTTCTACCCACACGCATGCCTGTGTGTTCTGACTAGATTTTACTCCCGGCCAGATGTGCAGAAGCGAGGCGGACCAGGCCGGTCTGGGCCTGCTGAATGATTGTGTGCCCAAGACTCATGCTGGGTTCAGTCTGACTCACGCTCGCACTGCCGGAGAGGAGGATCCAGTGCCGGCTAGAGAACATGACGAGACAACACGAGAATCGTGTGAGGGACCTTCAGATTTATATGGTTGCATGGCCTCCTCTCCGAAGAAACTATAAGTAGACTATATCAAACACTCCACAAAACATCTTCTTAATGGGTATTTGTTTTCTAGCTAAAATAAGCATTCTGTGTCACGGTGGGCCCAAATCCACTACATTTTTAAAACAGTATTATCCTATTTTAAACCTAAAATAATCTTGACAAACCATATATCATTTGAAAGCTTACAATCTCTAGTTTCCAAATTTAAATTACAGAGGAGACCTAATTTATCAATTTGCAACAAGAATATTTTCATAATCCCAAGGCATGTTTAGACCTTTATTTTGAAATAGTGATGAACATTAAAAATCATAAAAGAAGGATAGAAACCTGTTTGTTTTCATTCCAAGAGTTCAAAAGATAGCCTCCCTTCAATTATTTTAGAAAAAAAGGTCTGAATTTTTTTGAAAAATAAAGAAAAAATTAGAGATTCACCATTTGTGATGTGGCAGGAAGCTATAATGCGCATACTTGTTATTTTTTTATGTTTCTTAGAGGTTGAATTCATATCAAAATCTGCCATCTACTTCATAAATTGTATGAAAATTGTGGAAATAATGTTTTTTTCACTCAAAACACATATGTAAATGGTGGCGCCCTTATATGGGCAGAAATCTGGTTATCATCTTGTGGAAAAGTTTGGTACTGCGCCAAAACAAAATCTTGCTAAAAGCTCATTTTTTAAATATAAACCTAAAATTTGAAACACAACTTATTCAGATTTTTGGCTTTGATTTATTTGCAGTTTTAGAGTCGCCCAGGTTTTGATAATATATATTTTATATAAAATATTTTTTATATAAATATTAACATTTTTATATTGTACATTTTCATAAAATCAAACTCCAATAACTTGTTTTTCTCTTTCACTTTCTTAATTTATTTCACTTCAACAAAAATCTGCCAAATGTCTTATTTAAAACGAGACCAATCTTATGTCTATATTCCAAATCATTCTTGAATTACAACCATTTAAGTTCGAAATGCGTATTTTTACTTATATTCAAAAAAGGGGGATAACACTTCAGAGGTTAAAAAAGAATTTATATTCCATCTAAATAATAAATAATATTTCAATATTTATTCTCATACTAACATCTTATACTATTCTTCATTTTTATTATCTTATTTGAGCAAAAATACAGTAAAACAACAATATTGAGAAATATTATTACAATTTTAAGTAACTGTTTTCTTTGTTATATTATATATTATATACCAATATCATTTTAAAATGTATTTTTTTATATTATTAAAATGTATTCCTCTGATGGAAAAGCTTAATTTTCAGCAGCTATTACTTCAGTGTCACACTAATATAGTATATATAATATATATATATATATATATATATTAGTGCTGTATATTTATACAGACAGACACTATAATATATTTAAACAAAAACTTGAATCGATTTGACAGCACTAATTATATATAGCATTCAGCTTTAGAAAGTTCAAAAGTAACATTATAAATATATATAATGTCAGTATTGATCAAATTCAGAATAAGAATGTATGTTTTATTCTGCAGGTGTGCAAAACACACAAGGAATTTGGTCTGGTTTCCAGAAACCAGTATGGACATCAATACAGAGTTATACTTAATGTACTGTTTAAAATACTATGTATTTACATTAAAAGTGGGAGTGCATCCTGGCTGAATCCTATATAAAAAGTATTTATTTCTTCAAAAAATAATTATAACTGACCCCAAACTTTTAAATGGTATATTATATGATATTATAAGATATTATACTTTTTTTTCTTAAATGGTTTTGTCCAGTGGGTCTCGTCTTTAAGAGGGCCGGGAGAATGTTTCCGGCTGTTCACACTCATCACTATGATGAAGAGAAAACGAGATGAGAATGGAAATGAACTATAATGGGAATAAATCCCAGGGTCTCAGATCACAATCAAGGAAAATCTGACTCGTATAGCAAACAACCAGTAAACTCGGGTAAAATGAGCTGACAAGGACAGATGTACATTGGTTGTTGCTGCAGACACAAATGAAAGCCTCTCAATCACTAACTGACATTCATCAGAAGGGTAATCGCCAATAAGCAGACATTGCTGGATGGAGCTCGATCGTGGATCAGATACTGACGGATGTGTTTGCGTTCGTTCAGAGTGAGTCATTATATTCTCTCTGGATTTGGTGTTTATGAGTGGTAAACTGCAGGTTTCAGACTGTTTACTGCCCCGAGATATGCACACATACTGTACTTTCACACATACATACAAACACAAGTTCAAACGTGCTGAAAACATGCAGGACACCACAAGCGTTACACATTCACACGCACACAAAACATTCTTGTGCAAACAAACGAAACGCGGCCCCACAGGTTCATATACACAAGCAGGCAACATACTCATAAGTAGCATGTGGTGCATGTATCCATACACATATATTCAGAGGAAGACAAACATCTCACACACACACTCTATTCATGCCAGAGGCTGACATTTATGGCGCTTTACCTGTCTAGATGATATGCTGCGATCTCTGCATTGTGCCTCTCGAAATCTGAGAAGTAGAAGAAGTCTGGGGGTGTCTCCTGCTCCCGGGTCTGCCTGCAAGGCAAAGGTTAATCTGCTGTGAGCCCCTTTCATCAACAAAGCCATAATCACAGCCCTAGCCCTTGAAACTAAAGCCACCCTGTCAAGAAAACATTAAGAGACGCCCCTCCATTACTTCTGGATTGATGTCTGGAAGAAAATGTCTTTTCTTAACACATTTTTGAAAAAATACCTTATTTGATTTATTACTAAAATAATTGACAGAGACATTAACTTGAATTTCTTCATGCTAATACCTTAAGCTTGTATATTAAAGGAGTAGTTCACTTTGAAAAAAACTTTTGCTGATAATTTACTCACCCCCATGTCATCCAAGATATCCATGTCATTCTTTCTTCAGTCGAAAAGAAATTAAGGTTTTTGATGAAAACATTCCTGGATTTTTCTCCACATAATGGACTTCAATGGGAACCAAAAGGTTCATGGTCCAAAAGACTTTAAATGATTCAAAGGGCTTTAAACGATTCCAGATGATGAATAAGGGTCTTATCAAGCGAAACGATCACTTATTTATTCAACAACAATTCAACGATTCAACAAACGAAATGAACGAATTGACTCGGAAAAATATTCATTCATTTTGATGAACGAGTTCGAACAGGAGAGTCACGAACGCGCATCACAGAACAGAGCAAGGCGACCATTTGAGCTTATAAAACTTAAACTTTGTTTTTGTTTTTTTTAAATGAGCGATCGTTTCGCTTGATAAGACCCTTATTCATCGTCTGGAATAGTTTCAAACCCTTTGAACAGTTTGCAGTTTGCACTGAAACTGTCTTTTGGACCTTGAACCGTTTGGTTCCCATTGAAGTCAATTATGTGGAGAAAAATCCAGGAATGTTTTCATCAAAAACCTTCATTTCTTTTCAACTGAAGAAAGAAAGACATGGATATCTTGGATGACACGGGGGTGAGTAAATTATCAGCAAAAGTTTTTTTTAAAAGTGAACTACTCCTTTAAAGATCATGAAATTGCTTGAAGAACACATTTTCCTTCCTGTTTTGACTTAGGGTACGTTTACATGACAACGATATACTTAAAACTGAGTTTTTCCTTTGAGTTTTCCGCGTACAGACGACACCATTGTCAAAACAATTCCCATTCACACGGATCCACAAAAATGACTAAAACGTTGTATTCTGCTGCCAGGCTGTTAAATGGCGATGAAACACTATAGATTGAACACATAATACGCATGTGAATGACATCATTGTCTTCAGAGATTTGTGTTTTAGTCCGTTTTCAAAAACTTGCACTTTAAAACACATTTTCAAAAGTTCACGTTTTCAAGCACCTAAAACGTCGTTGTTGTGTAAACGAGCGACTAAAACGCATAAAATTTTTACGCTTTTAGTTGAAAACGATGTCGTGTAAACAACCCCTTATTTCCTCTGGAAAGAGATTGTTTGGATGGGACATTTCAAATGGCTTGTGCAGTTCAAATGGGTCATGAACTGGCTTTTTACATTTTTTTATATTGTTGTTTGAGGTCAACTTATGACATTCGCTTGGTTTTTACATAAAAATAAACATCAAAATGAATAAGTAATAGGCTATTTTTCTACCCTAGTTTTGAGCCTAGCTCAAAAACGCTCGTTTTTTACGGGCGTCTCACATTGAAGACTTGGAAGTAAACGCCCACTGCTGTGAGTGGATAACAGTTTTGCATATTATAATGAGTTTCACTCTCAACCCAGTTTGTCATCACGAGGTAGGCCTATGTTATTTAGCTATGCGTGTAATGCGCGAATCGGTGGGCGGGGCTAAACCGACCGTGTTGAAGTTGGCGTTGATCTTCTTCTGCGGGGGTGGTGTTTTATCCTCTTTGACGTCATAGTTCCCCACTTTTGAAAAACGAGTCCTTTGCTGAGCCTGGTGTCAATAAAAGCTTTTATTGGACTAACAAGGACGTTTTCAGTTCTGAAACTTACAGGATATTCTTATGATGACCTCTTAGATGTCAAAAGATAAAAGAAATTTGATTTCTCAGTTCATCACCCCTTTAAATAATATTTAAAGGGCCATGATCTGCTAGCTATAATTGCTATTGTTAGAATTTTCAGGGTGTTTTAGGGGGAGGGACATTTTAGTCTAAGAGAGCATTTCATTGGACAGAAATCCGTGGAGTGCAGGATAAGTCATCAATCATTTTACAGTCAGTTTCTCCATTAATGTTATATTTCTAAAGGCTAATATTGTTAGCATTAAGGTACACTAGCATGCTGATGGCTCTAAAGCTATAACTGACTTAAAGCCACAGAACTTCCATTTTGATTTAATTCAAACATCCAAAATTTTGATATTGTACATGATTAGTTAACAACAGGCCAAACAATACGAAAACAATATAATTTGATCAATACTCGTAGGTCAATGGAGGACATATCAAGTTCGAGGCAAACAATTCTCCACAGACAAGAGCCAGAGAAACTATTTTTAACCCGGGCTGACTTCATACGGTCCCACTGAAATGTTTTCAGCAGACTCCATTTCAAACATACTTGAGATTTCTCTCTTTGCTCTTCCCTTCTCTCTGTCTCTCTCTCTCTCTCTGAATGCTGTCCGAATGTCAGAACAATTAAATCCAGCTGGGTTTCTCGCCTTTCTTAATAGCCTTAATCATGTAAGGACGGTTCAAAACAATGACTTCTCTGGGAACTGAATCTTGTCACATCCCAACATCTTTGTGGCAAACCGAAGGCAAGATAGCTGGCGGGAGGAGTGCCAGCCCTGTAATGGAAACAGATCCTTATCTTGGCGAAATCAGGCATTCAGTATCGTCCTCAGCTGGCGGCAGTCGTTCAAGGCGCAGCTGTGAGACTGACACGCTCACCGATCGTTAAATAACACAGCATGGGACCTGCCAAACGAGAGTCTCCAACTTCACATTCTTCTGCAGTTCTCTCCTCAGAGCCCCGGATAATATCGCTCCACTTGCCAACTGTGAACCTCTTTTCAGGCATGAAGAGAATTAAAATGGATTTGTGTTTCTGCCGGAAGAAACAGGCCTACTTCTGCAATAAACCCAGAAGCGCCCTGGTGATGAACCCATTGGACGCTTGCCCTCAGACGCTCAGATGTTTAATTGGCAGAGAAGTGTGTACGGGTGGTTTTTTGTGGAAAGTTAACTCCCCTAAAGGACTTTCACACATTTCACACATTTTTTTGTTATTCATTTGTCCACTATCTGACAGTCTATTTACAGTTAAAAGCATATTAAATATTTATTTATACTTATATTACAGCTTGACTAGAAATTATTATTTAAGTCTCAATAAAATATCTCATAGGAGATATTTATTCACACAGTCTGAGGGCAGTTGTAATTTGTGTAATAAATTACATTTAATACGGTTTATGATAAAAATTTAATTTTAAGATTTTAAAAAATACACTACTGTAAAGTTTGATTTTTTTCAAAGAAATTTGCATTAAACGGATTAAAAGTAAACTGAAAGTAATGTATAATGTTGCAAAAGATTTCTACTTCAATTAAAAGCTGTTCTTTTTAACTTAATATTCAGCAAAAAAATCCTAAAAATATTGTATCATGATTTCCACAAAAATCAACACAACTGTTTTCAGAATTGATAATAATATACACCAAATCAGCATATTAGTATGATTCCTGAAGGATCATGTGACACTTAAAACAGAAATAATTTGCAACACAGAAATAAATCATATTTTAAAATATACCAAAAATTATTGTATTTCACAATATTTTTGATCAAATAAATGCAACCAACTTCTTTTAAAAACATTTGAAATCTTACCGACCCCAAACCTACTGTATGAACGATAGTGTATCTCTAGTCTACACATTTAAACATTTTTGAAGAACCAAAAAACTAAGAAAAAAATAAAAATAAAAACCTTCCAAAACACAAAACAAAGCTGTTTTAATAAAAATCATTATTGGACATAAAAGTCTCTGAAGGAAACAACTGTTCACTTGTGTGACCCAAAATTCCACTTGCTTTAGCTCATAATTTCAGTACTCTGGGATCCACCTGTTTTCACAGCTATTACGATAGCTCACTGTCTAATGCACTGTAAAGTAATATTAAGTCTCTCTCTAAGCACTTATTGTGCACCACTGTGCCCAAAGACTTGACCCAGCCGAGGCCTCTGCATCGGTGACGGCACATCTGCCTCTATTCTGTATGCTTTTCATCAAATAGGATTCCATCAAGGTAAAATTTGTGATTAACATCACCTCCATAACACAAATGGTCACAACAGGAAAAAATAAATAAAATACGCAGGCTTTTTAAAAGCTCAGAGACCGCAGCTGATGGCAAAACCCTCTGAGGAGTGTTCTGTGGGTGGAGAACTCGAAACTCCCTCCACTCACGCTGGCACTCCAGACAACCTTGTTAAGCTGGAGCTTGAGAGCTCTCATTTATTCCCGTAAAACCCCAGAGAGACATGAGGAAAACAACATTCGACTGGCTGCTGGACCAGAAAATTATAACAAAAGAAACCAGACACAGGCCAGCCTGTCAAAGGGTCAAAACAATCCCTCCGAAGAATTCTGTAAAGCTTAGTTTCCATTCGACATTAACGACACCTCGAAAAGAGAGGGAAAAAAAATCTCTCTTTAAAGACAACATATAGAAATTTGAAGGCAACTACATAAAAATATAGATATTTAAATGCAACTACATAAACATATAGAACAACAACAGTTTCTAATGGATTTCATTCAATTAACAAACCAACAGAGACAAGTTTATGAGGCACTGAATATAAAAACAAAAAAGAAAAACAGCTGCAGTCTGTGTGGTGGTGGGATATAGATTGAAAGCTCAGGGTGATTTTTTTCCTCTATTTTCTTCAAATGCGTGATCTGTGGATGTGGTTCACCAGAAATATTGCCATGGGAATGGTCGCCACTTTTAAAGTACACTTAAATGAGCCTCAGGATGGGCCTCTGGGATCCTAAAACCAACTCAGCTGAGAGCAGAATGTCTCTAGTGATCAAAATACG